TAAGTATATATATATATATATATATATATATATATATAGATCTTGGGGGAGTGATTTCATACAGCAATTTTATCACATTGACAGCAGTACATTAAACAGGTAAGAGTATTTATGTATTTCAGCCAAACACTATAAAAGATGGAAATGTTTTTGACTCAACGAAAAACAACTCAAATTGAGTCCTAGCCTGAAAGGGAAAATGGATACAACATCAAATGCTATTAATCCCAAATCCAGAAAGTAGCAATAGCATCAGAGTTAAGAAACAATAGTCAAGATGATGGAAATTGCATGTTATCAAAATTTAAATAGGAATCATAAAATAAGAAGTGCATATGCATCCACCCACATACACTGATGCACATCCACATTAATGTCGTAAATCAACATTAGTGCACTACTATACAAGGATGGGTGAGCCAAACACAAGCATGGGCAATCTTACAGGTACACACAGTCCAGTAGAATGTAAGTCAAAAAAGAAACAAATAAGAAATTTAATCCAGAACTCTAAAGGACAAAACAGTGGACAAATATAATTCACCACCAATCAGGAACTTAATTTGCATTAACATAGATAATATGATAAAAGAAATGCCATTACCATGCTAACTAAAATGTAATGACTAAGGAAACATAACAGGCCTTCAAAAAGTAAGAAAATGCATAAATGATCATCTCAGCATTTCAATAGGAGAGTAAAGAAAGCAATAAATCAGAAAATCCAGGAAAATGTATCACTAAGTAACGTACCACTATCAGTTCTAGAGCTACGTCTGGAACCAACATTTTCATTTGATTGTGATAATCCCTCATCAGTTCCCGAAGTTTCTACATCCAAATTTCCAGCCTGCGTATGCAATCATATAAATTGAGTACTCATACTCAACAATGCCAACTAACATGACCACAAACTTGTAAATTTGAAATAAATAACCGAATAAAAATAGTAGGAAACAGAGAGAAATCAGTACATGTCCATAATCATTTTCAATGAATGCACACAGCAATATGAACTCTAAGTTAAGGAGTTTTGAGTTAAAATTACATAGAAAAAGAATTAAGGACAAGAAAAATTCCAAAGACCAATCCTGATCACAAGATCAAAGAAATTCTCAGCAAGCTCAACATCTCACATTTATCGTGTATCTAAAAAATAAAATAAAATAAACTTGCTCAGCACTGGGCAGGGACAGAGAGCATTGTACTCTATAGACTTCAGGACTAGTAGATATTCACACAACTCCGTCCACAAGTAACAATCTCGCATAATCAACACACCAAAGGAACGATTCCTCCTAAATGCACACAAAAAAAGTTTATTGTGATAGAACAGTATAATACAAATCCTTCTAAAGGATTACCACTCCATTCCTATGGATAGCATTTCCAAGTCAAACTTAGCTACCATTCAATCCACTCCCACTCCCAATCAAGTATTTAAAAATATACATGTGGAACAATTCATATTATTTCCACTTGTGCGCTGATGAAAACATCAAAGTTTCCATTTGAGAATGAAGAGTACAAAAACTTCGCAACGCCAAGCAGCCAATGGAAGGCAGTTACATAAAAACAGCAGCCTACACATTCATATGCTTACTCCTGTACTTTGTCAAGTATAAAAGGTGCATCTATTATGTTTGGATTGTGGTACCCAGTGGAGAATAGCTGTCAAACCATGTAACCACGATACAATAGTTTTTTTTCTTAGTTTTTTAGTAGAAATAGTGTTGCACTAATATCAAAATTGCTTTCCTTGTTTCTTAATTAACATTGTGTCAAGATTAAAATTCAATAATTCAAACTTAACTGATTTCTGGTCCATTGTGGTTAAAGTACCCAGTGAAGATGCTTGTATGATCTAGATGGTGTCTTATATCTGAATGAAAATAGCGCCATGCTTATGACCCATGTTACAATCACATGAATGTGTATCAGCATTCAACACAGACAGACATCCACATCTGAAACATTTATCCTTTCAGAGATGACAAGTCTGTATGCCATTGAGAGAGGGGAGAGTTGGCATTTTCAGTAACTTATCTTACTGATGACATTCCAACTCAGACATGGGGAGCAGGACTTTCCCACTAACTAATCATCCGACATGCAAGCCATCTCTGGCATGTCAACATGCGCCATGAAACGTGGACACATATGAGACTAGAATTATCAAATTATGTATGCAGGACAAAGGAATGCCAGAACCAAAAAACAAAAAAAGTTAAAATGAATAGTCCACGAGATTTGCATGCACAACCACTATGTAATAAAAGACTGCTATAGCATTAAGAAACCAAACTAGGATAAGGAAAAAAGACAAACATCTCCAACAGTACAAAATTTTGTGTTTTAATGATTTTCCTCTGCAGATTTACCTCCAAATGCTTTAAAGTGTCCAGGAAAGTAACCCGTCCCTCATGAAGGAGCTTCAATTGCCTCTGAAGTTCTGAAAATTCAGAGAGCATGATCTCCTCACAGTCCTTGATCAATCTCTGGTCAAGTCCCTCTTCAAGCAAGCGAAGTTTAAGTTTTTCAGTGGAAATAGATAATTCATCAATAATAAGTGCAATCCTGTTGCCTAGGGATCTTTGAGGGAATAATTTCTTAACAGAAGCTAAGGCCCCTATCCAAGCCTCTCTATCCTGTCTGGAATCAGTCCTTAAATAAAGTGTTTTTGTACCAGTAAATATGTAAAACCGTTTGTCGTCCGACTTACTCTCGCGAAATGCTGAGACCTGAAAATGAAGAAACAAAAACATTTATTACTCATGAGAGCTCATGACTATATGCACAAAGGTCTCTCATTTGTTGGCGCTAGTAAGAATTATGATCTAAACTTTTAGATAATAAACAGCATATGCCTCAAATTCTTGCCTCAAAAACTCTGGATAGTTAAGGGACAAAAAAAGGCAAACAACGAACTGCATACTCCTCAAAGCACGAAGGGAGGATGGCTCCAGATAACTCAGATAGTCCATGCCAGTTACCTCAACACAAAATATCATCAAAGAATCTGATGCTCTTAAGCACAAGAAATGGTTTGAAAGAATAGAACATCGTAAAAGTACAAAGTATATATTCAATGTACAGTAGTGTGTCCTGAGGACACTAAGAGGATTTTGTATTCAATGTTGCATTTAAACACACAAAGAAACAGCATACAGCAGATATCAAACTCCTGAATTTCTGCCAAAGACACCAGATAGAACAGCCTGATCCTCTCCTACCACGGTGCTGACTGCAGAACGTAAGGCTCCCAGCCTATACAGCAATATCAGCTTCAAGTGTCTCAAACTTGAAAGGAACAACTATTTCCCAATAAAATATAGTGTATCTAATAATATGTTATCATGTTGCCGTATCCAAAATCATCATCAGGACCAAAGGGCCTACTACAATATTATTTTCAGAAGAGTAAAGAAGTAGACCATCGTTCTGTCCCATTTCTAAAATAAATGAGGTAATCAAACTTCAACTTGTCAAAATTATTTGAATGTTTACTTTAACTTGCCATTTCCATTTATTTTGAATGAGTTCATCCCAAATCCCAAATCTCAATATTTTCTGAGCTGGAGGTGGATCCATCTATGAAAATATTGTCTTGCTCCAGAAAATCATATGAGGAAGATGGCTAAAGGTCATTCAATCCCACTTCACCCAACCAATTCTTTCTTAACTGTAGCACTCTCAAGGATCCAATGGTAGGTGACTGATGTTCATTTAGATCATTTCTACTCAAATTTTGATTACAAATTAAGCCTGAATCTTCTATTTATATTTCAATTTTTTGAGTAAAATATGCCACATGGTTTCTAGGCTCTCAGTCAACCTAGTATTGTCCCAAGACTGCAGGCAACTACTGATATCAATATTTGGCAATGTCCAAGGACATGGGCACGCAACAGGCAAACAACATATTAGACACAGGTCCTCAAAAAGAAAGGAAATCTGTGTCAAACACAAACATCACTACAATGCAGCATGGTTGAGGGATATCCGTAGGTGAGTGATTAAATATTGAGTGTCTACAGCATACTCCGGCCGGAGCATACTCTACACTTACTATTCTCAAGAATTTTCTTGCTCTGAAATTTTGATCCCCACCTTATTAGATGAGTATTCTCAGGAAAAAAATGTATTAAGGAATGCACTGATGAAAATTGGGAAAAATTGAAATTTTTGCAGACATGTAAAATGCATCCAAAAGAGAGCATAAACAAATGTGTACAACATGGTGAATAACTTCCATTTCAATATACATATGAAATCATGCACTTCGGAGTTGTAAGCAAACAGATTGTATAATAATTACCAGTTCCATTCCAGAAATTCCGATAACAAATGCATATATAGTGTAAAATAGAGCAATTCAAACATAGCATCATAGCAGAGCATATGAGCTTATAAATCATAAAAAATTTGAAAAGCGCTTTGGACCTCAAAGCCACTCAAAAGAAGTTTGAAATAAAATGAGTGAAATATTGATTCAGTATTCTCCATGTACAATTCCTTCCAAGCTACCAAGAATGGACCTAGTTTCTTTCTACAAATCCTTATTTCTATAAAAAGAGAAAATTGAAAGCATAAAACCTTCACCTGAAACACATGCCTTGCTCTTCTAAAATGTGTTGTCAAATATGTCTTATAACAACCTAAATGCCCTAAACTTTAAGTTCAGGCTCTTCTAAAATATTGTCATATATGTCTAACGCAGCCTAAAGGGCCTAAACATGAAATTCAAGCATTTTGATCAGTAAATGAAAACATATATTTTTAAAATTTTTAGAATAACACAATAGAAAAGATAAAAGTATTGACGACAACATATCTGTTTCTATTTAAGTGAACTGGACCTGATCAGACACAACCACAAGTCTTGCTCGACCAAGGATCTGAACCCTTCAGACACCATAATCCAGATAAATGGAAAAGAATAGCAAATCATAAGCAACTTCTGAAACAAAGGACCAAAAGTCTTCATCATAATTACATGCAAACTGCCATTTGTATGATATAGAAAAACAACTCTCATTTAATTACAGAAGGATCATAAAAAACGATAAAGCCTTTCTGCATCTCCTCAAGCATACCATGGCTATAAATCTTACTCAAATGTAGAAGGTGCAAATGAATACCAACAAAAATTGCAAAGCATCACAAATATAACCACTCAACAGAAAGCATTCTCTCACTTAAACTTTGAAATAATCCAGCATTCATGATGAACAGAAACGTGGTACTCAAACTTTAAAGACTTTAAGAGCGCATCTTGTTTGATAATGAGGAAGGGTGGCTTGTATTTCCATAGGGGACCATGGAACTTAGGTTCCAGAAATCACACACGCCCTCAAAGAAAAACATCCAGCAGCAACCAAAGAAGATGGAACTCATTATCGTACGGGGAACCCACAAAGGAGAGTCCAAAAATACAAACATAAAGTTCCATTCCATGGTGAATGGACAATGGCCGAACATCTCCCAAATGTGACTCAAGAGGCATATACAGTATGCTCCACCGCGACCCATAAATCCACTAGATATGGGCCACGAAGAAAAAGTAACCATTACACACAAATTATCATCAAAATTACAATAACAATCGTAATTATTGTCCTACGAACCAGATCTCTAATGCTTGTTGAAAGACGTTCACCATCCATGCCTAATAATCCCATGCAAATATGCTCAAGAATATATGTTCAGATTCCTCCATTAAATCCAAACAATCCATGAGGACGAGAAAGTGATCGCCGTTCCAATGGGGTTCCAAGTGAAACAGTAGAGAGAGAAAGAGAGAGTGAGGGGTTGGAAAGTAAGGCAGGCACCTATTAGCACGAGAAACAAGGACCCCACAGCTCCAAAGAGATAAGATCTACTGTGAAGCGATGAAGATATTGGGAGTTTACCCCACCCCATGTGGGAACAAAGTTAAAAATGAAACCAAAAGAAAAACACAGCAAAGAGAACAATAATATCGCCCAAGGGGACCCATCAAGCTTCATGTGGCTTCAGGGAACACGATTGATCCACATCGAGGGGATAACCACCAATGAAGAGAGAGAGAGACAGTCATTCATGTGAGGGAGTCTTTCATGTGGGCCTCTCTCTCTCTCTCTAAAGCCCGAGTAACAGTAAGAGAGAGAAAGAGAGGAGAGAGAGGAGACCCTCTAGGTTGGGCCTATTTGAACTCCTTTGGGGTCAGCTATGGAAATAGCCCCTGTCAATTTGGTGACCACTTCACAGAGAGAAGGGCCAGAATGGATCTGGTGCCATCTAGAGAGAACTGGAAAAGCAAAGGTTGACGTATACTAGGTATGTAGGTCTTCTAGCTTCACCCTTATACTCACCAGGCACTTGACAGAGATGCATGTAGTTTCTCTCTCTAAAAACACCAGAGACTCTCTCTGAGTGACTTCATAGTACAGTCTTTCTCTCTCTAGATTGCTAGACTAACGATTATTACGTGCATAGGGAAGACAGGCTAAAACATATAGGGAGGATGGTCCTGTTAACACCAGCTGGTTATGGATGTGACCTAGAGAGAGATAGGGTACTGAAAATGGCAGGCAGTCCCCCACAAAGGTCTCAAGGTCTCCTTGTATTTGCTTTAAAGCACATTCATTTGCGGCCATGATGTGACCCACTCCCACTTAAACACCACCTGCACAATCCCACCTGAAATTGGACCACGAATGAAATTCTACTCACCCACGTCTCTCTCCAGAAACCCTAACTTCTCTCCAAAAGCCCTGGACCAAAAAATCTTTCTCTCCTGTTTCTCTCTCTAAAAACTCCAAGTGAAAATCTTCTCTTTCCTTCCCAGACATGCAAACATTCTCTCTCTCTCTCTCTCACTCTCTAAAAATGTGAAAGATTTTCAACATTTTCACGGCGCTTTTTCTCCTCACAGTTTCCTGCTCATCGTATTTGACATCGCCATGAAATGTGGTTTATTTTACCAGATAAATTCCTGGTATCTTTTTCCTAGTGAGTGAAAATGTATTTATTTTCTATATTCATTAAAAGCATGGCAAATATTCTTGAAAGTAGATTCCGATAACTTTTTCTTTTCTCTTTTCTCTTTTCTCTTTTCTTTTTTCTTTTTATTAATGTTAAGCCTCCAATCACTCAGTAATGATAATAAACCACAAAATAATTAAAAGGCAGATCCAAAATGAGGAAACTGAAAAACAATTTTCAATATAAAAATAACTCCCATTGAAGCAAAGAATCATTTCAATCCCTTCGTTCAAATTCCAAGTATTTTATAAACATAATAAAGAGATTAAAAATAAGTAAAACAGAAAGAAAAAGACATAGGAATTTACAGAGAATGAAACACTGTCACCATCTGAAATAATATCACACCAGATTTCTTTACCACAGAGATTCAGGAAAAACAAAAACAATTTCAGGAAAGCACGACGTAATAAATGAGAAAACCACATTTCAACACGAGAAAGCAAAATAGAAAAAAATGCGAAAAGATTTAAAATACAGGACGAAGAAAGAGAATGCGAAGAGAGATTTCAAGAAAAAGGGCGACCTTGAGATGCACTACGCCCACATTTTTCCGGCGACTTCTTCCGCCGGATCCGCTGTTAGCACGGGTGAGGCCATTCCCAATTACCTGCACATCGGAGGACGAGGCCGTCCTCCTCATCTCATCATCACCATGACCTCCATCTCTAGGGCACGGGTGAGTGTGGTAGATTGGGGTTGGGATCTTATAATAAGAGAGGAGGCCGTCCCTCAAGAGGAACCAGCGGGACCTCCAACCCTTTCCAAAATTCGTCCATTTGTAAAGGACTCCGGCGACGTTTACCTCAGATCCAGAACCCTCTGCCGTCTCTCGAGGAGGAGGACAAGGAGGAGGAGGGGTGGTTTCCGGCTGACCGAACCCTGCGGCAGGAGCAGCGCCAAGACCCTCCAGGGAAACGCAACACAGGGGGTGCAGCATCATGCATTCTTTCTCTTTCCAATGGGCTTCATCCAGACGCCCTTTTTGGATTGGGATTAGAGGAGCCTCAGCAGATGGAAGATATTTGAGCCATGCCTGTGCAGGTTCCTCACAGTAAAGCTCACAACATAAAAAAACATGTAGATAAATTTTGTTGCAGGGGGAGAAGGTGGGTGGTATAAAATATTCCTCCTCGAGAAGAGGTTTAATGGGTTATTCGTGATGAAAAAGAGAGAGAGATTAATTGTTGGGACCTTTCTTTTCGGGCGAAATGCGAAAGAGAGACAGAGGGGAAGTTGCAGAAGTATAGTTACCAAAATGGAAAATACCGGGGAACCAGAGCGTCATTTGTGAGATTAATACTGGTCATTTTTATATTGAACGACCCCCCAAAGTAAGGGTAAATAAATGGCTCGGTAAAACCGCAAGGCTTTCCCATTGCCGTCTGGGACTTGCACATGCAAAAACTACAGGATAAGGGACGACATTTAGACCATAGTTATTAAGTTGGGGAATAAATATTATATTGGTAAACTAAAATATTAGTTATAAATCAGTTTTGGTCGAGGCAAGAAATGGGGTACAAATAGGGTCGCCAAAAATTGTGCAAGTTAAAGTATCTTGAATATTTTGGAATTGGATGAATAAATTAGAGTGAAAAAGTTGTATAGGTAAAGATAATAAAATTATGATTTGTAGTTATTGTATTTAAGATTTTATTTGGTAATTTTTTCTATCTAAATCGCTTAAATAAAACAATAATGCTTTTGCCATGACACAAAACATATAATTTGATTTTATAGGGAGCATACAAGGAAATAGTAACAACAAAAACATAAAACTCATTAAATGTGAAATAGTGGTCGATCTAATTATATACATCAATGAAATAGCAAAAAATTAGACACAAGTGAAATTAATCAAACTTTTGTATATAGAGAGTAAGTAACAAATGGCTTACTTGTATTGAACAATACGTGTATGAAACTCAAATATATATATTTGAACATTTCCCCTAATTCTCAGTTGCCTAAATCTTTAGTTTTAATTAAACATTTCCCTCTCTCTTCCTCCCTGCAATGGTGCTCTTGGTTTAGAGAAAGATAAGATTTTTCATTGGGTAATTCTTCCTCTAACTCTATCTATTATTTTAAGATGTATAGTTGTTTTGGCGAATATATTTTTCTAGGAATACACTTTATGTTTTGCCGTTCTCCTCCATGCAATTCCAAACCTCTATCAGGACACTATCTGGTCTTAAAGCCTTTATATATTCATCATCTTCAAAGCTTCTTTTACTTCTGATATCCTAACTCTATAAATGTATATATGACATCCGCCCTCACTTGTGCCAATGAATCGTCTCCAATGGTGTTTTCATTACGTTTGTCTTTTAATAATTTTTGAAAATAGACTCTCCACTTTTTATTGATATTTTCATCCTTCACCATGACCCTTTGATGATCACTCGTAATGCATTTGATATGGTCTAGATCCCTATATTTTTTTTCTCTCTCATTTTTTCTAATTTGACATATTTTTCATCTTTTCTTGCTCTCATCATATGCCTTAAGTTTAATCTTACTATTTACTTAGTATTTTTCTTAGCATATTTATATTTTTATAAATTTTGATCATCTCTATTACATTGCCAAGTTTTATAATATGATCATTGTTTGCATATAGCCTTTTGAACCTCATAACTCCACCGCTAAGTTTCCTTATCAAACTTTATTTTTCCTCTTGTTTCTCTTAAAAATTCTTTTGCCACTTTCTTAATATAGTCAATCATCTCATTCCACATAACATTGACCTCATGTTCACAGTTTCATTTTTTTTGTCTAACTAATTTATCCCTAAATAAATATATTTTTCATTTTTTAAATTCTACCACCTAGTTCTTTCATACCTATCAATTTCACCCCTCCTCTTCCATCTCTTTATGCGGACATCGATAACCATGAACTTATGACTCTCTCTTGGTATAACCTTACAATCTTCATATGATAGTCAATCAACATTCTTAACCAAGAAGAAGTCTATATGATTTTTATATTACCCAATTTTATAGGTTATTAAATATTCATCTTGTTTTTCAAAGTAAGTGTTTTCTATTGCTAGGTCATATGCCATAGCAAAATCTAAAATAGCCACACCCATTTCATTAATTTTACCCATCTCATTAATTTTCCCCACGTACCTCTTAATATTCTCTATTATACTTTCCTACATGAGCATTTAAGTCCCCTCCTACAAAGGTCCTTTCTCCATTTAGTATGTCTTGGATTAGTCCATCCATGTCCTCCCATTATTGCCTCTTAATTCTATATTTCTATATTCTCCTCGCATGGTACTAATTATTACTTATCTCTTCCTTTAATACAAGTTTAATTAATAAGAGTCTATCACTTACTATATTTTATCTTTTAAATCTTTATTGTCAATTATACCTACACATTTTCTATTATTATCCTTTCCTATTTATGAACGTTTATATCCATTCATTTTCGTAGCTTTTTTCCCTTTCTACTTAGTTTCATTTAGAAAACACTATGTGTACTCTCCTTCATCTTATTGTATCCACTGACTCCATACTCTTACCTGTAAGTGTTCCTACATTCCATAATGAATCCTACTTTTTGGACTCGCTTCTTTACACGCATTCATACAGAGTGTCAAATGAGCCCTTGCCTATTTTTCACTGCAAATCGGGCACCGTTACGACACATTGCTTCTAGGGAACGCCTTACCTAACTCTTGCTTATTTCTCATAGTACCCCGGTTTTTAGTTTAGCTTGTCATTTACGATAAATATTCTACGATAAGCAAATAACATAGATTCAAGATTCATAGAATGTTTTTGTAAATCATTAAGTTGGCTACCTAGTAACACAACCCACCTCCTTTACCAGGATTGGGGATGGGTTAAGGGATATTTTAAGGTTCTCACTCTTATTAGACCAAAGTTATCAAATCAATAAAGAAGAGAAGTAAAGTTATATGCAAGAAATATTTTTGAAAAGTTTTTTTTGAAAATAGATAAAATACACATTTATATCAGTTCCATAAAAAAATTGCTTGAAGATCTTTTGAAAATTTTGGAATTTTTTACATATCTATAAAAATGGAACATTTTTTTAAAGAAATCATCTTTTAATTGGAAACTTGTTGATTGTGGTTTCGATGTATATTGAGACTCTAAATCTTTGGTAAGAGTCTTAATATGAAGGGTTCATCTGTAAGTTTATTATCAGTCATATGGACTGTAGACGAATAATATCTGTACATTTTTTTTTCTAATTTTTTAAGGAAATATTACCTTGTTGATGTTGATACTCTAATATCCATGAGTTTCATAGCCCTTATCGCCACACTCAACGACATATTTAGGAGTTTGCTTAAAATAATCCAATCAATACTATGGAGGAATTGTCTAACCTTCATGATTCGTTGTTATGAAATGTTAGTGAATGTGTTATGGGGTTCTAAGAGTGCGATTTCCCATCGAAGCACAAGTCAAGATCATCCTAGCATGTTGTATACTGCATAATTTCATTATAGAGGAGGGTATTGATGATGATGATGATGACTATGACAATGGCAACTTGTCAGATTCCCTTTGGAGTCTTCGTTGGTTTGGTGAAAAAACGAAGCAATTTGGTGTTTCGTCCGATTCAGGGGAAGACTTCGGTTTTTTTTTAATTTAATATAAATAAATTATATATGTATATCTATATATAATATGGCAAAATTAGAAATAAAATTTTTTTTTAAAATTTAAAAAAGACTTTTATATAGGTATTTCTTTTCTGACCGAAGCAATCCAAAGAGACCTGAACCGAAGCAGCCCGAAGCGGCCCGAATATGACCGAAGTGGCAGCCCCACGCTTCTCCGATTTATGCTTAAAAGCCGAAGCCTTTGGCCTCTTCAGCAGAAGCGAAGCAAATTTGATAACTTTGATTAAGATACTCTAAATGTACCAGGGGTAGAGACATATGGGAGCAGAGGGAAAGAGATGAATGAGAGAAATTTCGATATGATATCGTGTAGAAAATGTGACAAGATTATTGTATTGAGCTGAATTCCTAGATTTATGATTTCTCTTTAAAGATATTAGATGTTGCATTACACTTTATGTGTTTTAGGTATTAAAAGAAATGGAGGTATTTTTTATTATTCGATCCACAAGTGGATTGTTGAGTAATATCTAGGTCTAGCATCTTTTTTAATTACTGAATGGTTTCATATGATTCTCTCCTCTCGAAGTTTTGTTGTTAATTCATGTGTGGAATATTTCAAGATTAACACAATAGAAGTATGGATTTATGCTTTGCAACTGTTGTTTGGGAAATGATGTGAATGAAGTAAGCCAAAAACCATCCACCGAGCTAAAAATATTACTTAGAACCAACAGATGAATCACCTATTTTGGCTCTTACTTAAATAGTAGGTAAATTTGGGAAAGAAATCAGAGGGTGCATTCAGGAAAGATGCATGGGCTTCTATGCAAAGGAGGTTTAATTTAGAGCTTGGGCTCAACCTCACCAAGGAGTAGTTAAAGAATATACAGAAGACGTGGAAGAACAATTATAAGGTCATAAAGGACCTACAGAATAAAAGTGGGTTTGGATGGGATGGTGAGCGATAGACAGTCATATTAAATTTAATTATTACAGACACCCCATTTTAAATATGGCAAATTCTATGATTTCTTGAGCCCTTAGGACCACACTATCTTAATAAACCCAAATCCATTGTCCACACAGCCTACCCTGTGACCCAGAACCAGTTTGCCTGCCCAGAACCCTGCAGATGCCCTGTTTTGACCTAGAATCCTGCAGACGCTCTGTTTTACCAAAAAAATCATTAAAATTAGTAAGAAAATCCTTTTTGAACCAAATATTCTTTGGAAGCTTCGCAACAGCCTGAACTACACATTGGAATCAACAAAATTCAATTTTGGTCTGTCAGTGTCGCCCAGTGTCGCTCGATGACACTACTAGTGTCGCTCGATGACACCACTGATGTTGCCCAACCCACCCAAAATTGTCTGAAACTAACAAGACAACCCACTGGTCTGTCCTAAGCAGAAAGTTACCATTTTGGGCAATCCAGACCTAGGTGACATTGTTGGTGTCGCCTAGCCCAAACTGCTTGAAAACAGTAGTTTCCGCACAAGAATGATCCCCTGCCATTCTTGACCAAATTTCCATAATTTTTGCCAATTTTGGCTGGGCGACACTGCCAGTCTCACGGCAGTGTCGCCCAGACCCGGTACCCCAAGAAGGCAGTGTAGGGTTGGCAAATGGCTGGTGATGGAAAGTTGTCCTTTTTTAAATGATTTCAGTTCATAGAAACTTCATTTTCATGGCTGTTTAGGGAGCTTCTTCGGGAATTAAGTCAAGAATAAGACTTCTGCTAGAGAAAATAGT